CCAAAGGCAAAAATAAATTTGTAACTAAATGAAGTATAAAATAATTAACATCGTGATAACCAAAGTAGCCCTAACTTTCCCTTTCATTTATTTCTATTTTTTTTTCTTGCATGGATAAAAACTACATAGAGATTCCATTTCATGACTAATAATACATAAATGGAAATCTAGCAAGTATTATGATAATAGAAGGAAGAAATGTTGGAGATGCAGCATGTGCGAAGAACAAGTTGAGTATTTGACTCGACAAAAACAATTTGTCCCTATTCATTTCACATTTGCTTCGTACTCAATATATTTCTACTAGTCATGTGATTTATATGCAGCTTACAGTCTTTGTGTGTGTGTATTTTGACAAGGCATGTGCCTAACTTGAGAAATAGTTTATACAAGACATGCTATAATAATTTCTTTTTTAGCGTTAAAACATTATATCCTGGTACTATTTTATGGCATGTTTTGGCCACCCACTTTTTCTAGTCAACTAATCATTTCCACTATGTATAATTAACTCTCTTTTTTTTTTTAGCTGAAACCATCCCAGACGCCATTTCCAACAAAAGTTAGTTAACTTCCAACGCAATTGTTGGGCGAAAGTAGATAAAACATGCGTGCGCAAGGGTCAAGGCTCTTTAATTAATAACGTAATTTGATCATTATGATTTTTTTGTAATGAGGCACCCACACCTTATTCCAAAATTACAAGTTATTTGAGCGATTTCTTTAGAAAAAGAGTTGTCTAACGACATTAATATTAACTCATGATGAATTTTAGATTAATGGTCCCAATTCAGGTTTCTACGTTTGAAAATTCGGACCCAAACTTCAGTGGAGCTAATTCCATTTGTCATCCGCACATGGGACAAAAGGGACCTTTCTTATGATCATTGCTCTTGTTCAAAACAAAGTGTAATCTCCCACCCCCACGCAGCTTAGTTTTTTAAATGCGGCATCTCAACTATTTTATTGATTATTCATTATTTTTTATTATAAATATTTACTAATTTTATTCACTAAGATTTTATGCTTCTTTCGTTCATATTTATTTTGTTCACTATTTAAAAAATAGATTTTCACTTTTAGTTGCATGTTCAATATATTAAGAAAAAATCTTAGTTTTTTCATTTTATTTTTAGAATTAACTACTAATTTTTCCGAATCATTAAACATAATATTAAACATCAATTAAGAGTATATATTATTAGTGAAAATAGGCATATCAAATATTATTTCTTAAGGAGCATGGTAAAAAGTGAACGGAGAGGGTAAATGATTTGAACTTTTAAGCGAAAGTTCAACTCCCTTTATTTCATTCATACTCTTGCTGGAAAGGAAGTGTCTTTTTCTAGATTAATTTAATTAATACCAAAAACCAACTGTTCCATGGAAATTAAATTTTAAACATGATTTTAAACCATTTAAGCGCCACTTCATAAAGAAGTTTATTTAAAAGATGGTCCTGCCTAACTATCTTTTAGTATAATTAACTTGGTGTTTGGATAGGAAATTAGCTAGGCATCGATAGAAAAGGAAAAGTAGGTGACACTTTATATACCAAATAGTGCACCATCATGTTTAACTAACATTTTTGCAATACATATTTTGAATTGCTTAATCCTCAAAGTTCCCGTTTTTAAGCAAATATGATTTCGTTTCCTTAGTGCTATGCATCTTTTTAATGAGACTAATTTGGAGCATCTCTCTTTAATATTCTTCTAATAAAAATTGTAGTCCACATTTAAAGCTATGTAATTCGTGTGTGTTTTCTCATCTAAGAAAAACTAACTTAGAAGTAAGAGTAACAAATCCACAATTGGTTTAACGAGTAATAATATGGATTATCCTAGTTAAAGACAAAAGCAATCATTAACGTCCAATTAATTACTTTGATACTAGAGTGGTAATCTAGTATTTTTGGGACATGATTGCTATCTATACCCACTAAAATCTTTTGATTATTATATAATTCCTATATTACGATTGAGTGCAAGTTTAATAAGCAGTTGGTTTTACTGAATGTTATTTAATTATTTTCGTTCTCCACAAAGCTCATGGACGTAGACATATGCAACTTATAATTTATGAAATTAACTAAATTTAATATTTTAAGTGAAATTCGCTAAAACTTCAATAAATATTGAAATTCTGAAATCATAATTTTAAAAGTATAATATTTATATTAATATTAGGTACAGTGCATAGGGGGGTTTCATTTTCATAAATATCGCTAGAATGATGCAATAATCAAGCAAGAATGATCTAATAATGTACTTCTTTTTATGCTTAAATAAGTGTTTTCAATCAAAATAATACATTTGCTGATTATTATATTTTAATGTAGCAGTAGTTTTCCTAATTTTGATATATGCTAAATTGGATAAGTCTAATGAAAACGTCACCGTAATTACTAAAAAACATGCAACTCACCGTGGAAAAAGTAAAAGGGATGAAAAGGGTATAGAGGACGATATAAAAAGCTCCACGTAGGTACATAGCCTAAACTCCAAAAATTAGTAAATTGTCAGATTAGATATAAAAGTCTGTATATGCAAAAATATACAATGTATAGTACTGCATGTTCCAACAATTATGTCAGATTTGATATATGAATACTAAGGAAAATGTCCAACAATATTATGAGAATGGGTTACAATAATTTGCTCGTCCTTTTTGTCGTCCTCTCGTAATTGTCTGCCTCTTTTACTACGTATATAACTACAATATAGTTTTGAATATTATATAAACGTGAGTTCTAGATCATGCTTCTGCAAAATTTATATTTTGTCATTAACATCCCCTGCTATCATTAAATACTGCAACTCTTTTTATCCAGTTGAGGGTATCGATCTTCAACGTTGCCAACCATACCTAAATTTATGAGACTCATTTTCATATTTTACGATTTTTTTTTTAAAAAAAAAATATTATCTTAAACTATTTGTTTTTCTGTGACCCACTAATTCGACTAATTTGGATCGCGACCTCAATTCGATCTTCTTCTCTAGGCTATATCTGCTCAATTTGCTTGTTTTGAAGATATATTTAGCCATTTTCTGTATAACATATTCATATGTTCCTGGATTCTTTTTTATCCTACTTGAGGAAATGTTTGTTTTCAACTTAGGCCATGTGAGTTTCGCATATATATCACAATTTTTTTCAACAAAAAAAAAAGAGAGACTTATTTGGTAAGTTTTTATCAGTTACAATTATTTAACTCCAGTGAATTACCATAGGACACTTGTAACTTAGAAGTAGGATAACAAATAGGTGGGTTGGGTTAAATTCGGACGGATAAAAATGGATCAAGACAATAAACTGATCAAGACTCAATTCAAATTAAATTTATTTGAATCAAAATGGGTTGACTCAAAACAGATTAGGTAACGGATCATAACTCATTTTTTACTAACTTTTAATAGCTTTATTTGTTATTTCATAATCTTTTAGTACCTAATAAAATTATTTTTTTCTTTATTATAATTATATATAGTATATAAAATAAAATAAGAGTTTTTTAATAATATTTTGATAAAATTTTTTAAAAATTAGTTTGAGTTACATTTCAACTCAATTTTTAATTAATTGAATTGAGATGGATTGAGCTAACAAATGGACGGATCAATAATCAATCTAAACCTAAATAAAATGGATTGAATTGGACGAATTGAACTTGATTTTGCCACCCTATTAAGTAGCCATGCCCATTTTGGCAAGCTGCATTTTTTTTATAAAGAGAGAAATTGATAGAGTCAAATTTACCTTGTCATTAGAAAATCCTCTCGTATTTAACTTTGATCACAATAAATTGAGTTTATTCCACATATCAAATTACTACAAAAGAAATAAAAAATCTTGTACTTCCATTTATGAGTCAAAATTATCATACGTTCTATTTTGAGGAAATTTCATAAATAGCTTCGGTTTTATGTTGTAACTCTATTAGCTTCACGTGTGAATAACAAGACAATTTGTGAATGGAGAAAATATAAATCCAAAAAAGTTTTTTTTAATAATATTTAATATGGTGAAAGGTTATTTAAACCTCGTTTACTTAAAAAGATTTTTTTTTTGGACTTAAAAGATACTCCACTAGACATACACATGGTTACTGTTAACTAATTGGTAGTACAAACATGATTGATGGATATATTGTTTCAATCTCATTCTTGGACTCAGGCCACAATGATAGCTGGATTATAGAGCATTTAGCCCAAAGTTTTATTTGCATTTCAGATCGTTCATTTTATAAAATATAAATAGGGCAAATTACAAAAATCACATATTTTTAAGGTGAAATAATAATATATCCCTTAAAAGTTTATAATTACAGAAATCCCTCAAACGGATACAATAATATAAGCGTTGATACATTACTATGATGCGCGAGATATATTAATCGTTTAGTAAGATACATTACGTTTTATATATGATACACTAATCTGATGCGCGAAAATGAGAAATTTTGGAGATTAGTAAAACTTAAAGGGGATAATGGTAATAAGTAGTGGGATTTCTGTAATTTTTCCTAATAAATATTCAAAATATTTTCTTAATAAAAGAATATATATTATTTTGCTGAATGAGGTTTTTATAAAATTTAATTGATATGGTGTTTAATTCCTAATTTTGTTTGAATTTATTACTGTTTATGCTTATAAAGACTATTATGCATATTGAAACAACAATGTTTAATCAGTAATGTTTAGATCTAGAGATGGTGTAAAGAAAAAGACTTGCGCCACAGTCCATCTTTTTATTAGTTAAACTTTGATGATGTTAAAAAAGAAAAAAAGCGTTGCACCAGCAGTGGATATTTGTTGAACTCTTTTTGTTATGGAGTATTTTGCATCTCATTTTATCCAAGCTGCTGTGATCACTGATATTTTGAATGAAGATAAACGGAATTAACTCGTTAAATCTAGATGGTGTGCACGGAAACTAACATTCATTTCGGATGGGTAACAAATAAATAAATGGAGAGTAAGAAAATGCGCCAATTTTGAAAAGGAAATAGAAATTAATGCATTGAGTGCATAATACATAAGAAGAACTCATGTTCCAGCAATGGGTATATATCGACAGTATCTTAAAGCTTATTTGAGCCTTGCACCTCCGCTCAACACTTGTATTGTTAAATTAAATAATGTACACATAGATATTTCAGTACAATAATGCTAGTCAGTTTCTTCACAATCTTTTAGATGTTCTTTGAGGCTTATATCCCATTTTTCACTATCCCATGTTGAATCTGCTTCTGGCAATGTGTAGTCGTCAGGTTTGAGTGACAACTGGAATTCTGGAAGATCGGGTAGTACTCGAAGATCTCTGCTAATTGCAAACTCATCATATTATTTAAATATATGTGTGAAAATCTGAAGAAGCATAATTACAAGAAAGTTTCATAAGACTCACTTTTCTTGGTCCAAAAGGTAGCCATACATTTGGGACTTCTTGGCAGCAGTTTCCGGCACTTTTTTGTTTAAATGTTTCATAACACCCCATGCTGGAGGAGTTCTACGAAAAAACATGAAGGAAATTTACTACTTCTGTGATGGTCATTCATTGCAATGTGATTAAATAAATAGTTAAAAACCTGGTGATAGGTTCTGCAAGGCAGAAACTTAAGGAGGCTTTTTTGCTCTCAGCAAGTAGTTCTTCTGCTGCGAGGAAACAGCATACTGCACTAACGTGGCAGGATGGTTCTGTTCCCTTGTCAATGATTATACCGTGGTAGTAGTAAGCTGCAGCCTGAATATGTCGTTCACATTATATGTATTGGCAATAGGAATGAAAGAAGATGAAAAAAGCTTAACTACAATTTTGGTAGGAAGAAAAACCTTTGCTTCAAGATATTTCCATTTGATGAACAACAGATGCTTTTTCGCTGTTCTGTGGAAATTATTGTCTCCAGACAAGCAGCAAAGTGTCTGAAAGAGAAAAAAAGAAGTTAGATATACAAACATGTGATGCAAAAAGCAAACTAAGAGTTGACTTGGGAGCATTCATAAGATTTCAAGTACCTGTGCGTAGTAGCTTACTGCTTCACATGCCAGCCTCCTCTTCACTGATAAAGTAGCATTTTGACTTTCAAGAGCCAAACCTAATTGAATTTCAGTTCCCTGAAATATCACTCAGGAATCAGTCCATATTAGAATTTCAATACCTTCTTACTTTAAACAGTCAGTTGCATCGTATTGAATTCTACAGGAAGTAGAATCTTCGATCTTACAATTATCATGAGTTGAATTAATTAACTGCCCTGTATGACTTGATTTGAATTCATTTATCGATCCCACTTTATCATCTAACATGATATCCATTTTTGGAGATTGTTTCACTGATCTGACTGGAAAGCAGCTGCCTTTTCATTGATTTTATTAGCTATAAGGAATCAAAACTCGTGTTCTAGTTAATCGTCGATACCTGTGCTAGTGCTTGATTTGAGGTAGCTTCGAGAATACCCTGATGCAGATGTTTAGGCAACTTGTTCCTGGTAAAATAAGGATAAAATAGCTAATAAAAATGACGCAGAAACAGATAAATATATGTAGAAATATGGCTGAAGATATATTTACATACTTGATATCAGGTGGTATGTGGACAAGAACATTTTGGACACAGAAATCCAAATAACCTGATGCTTTCAGCAGCAAATCAACAGTATCCCTCATGCAATCTGAAATTGAAACGCTGTTTGATCAATGCTGATCACACTTGGAGTTTTTAAGAAAATTAGTAACCACAATACCTCCTGACACAGCCCGTTCAGTCATAGCAATGTCTCTTGGTGCCAACTTCATATTTGCCTCTACTAATGTTAACATAGCCATCATGTGAAGGACAGACAGTAATTCAAACCAGGAGTTTGCTACAGAGGTTTCCTGCTAATTTAAAAGAAGCAAAGGATCATAAATCATGTCAACAAGTGACAACCACTCAGCAGATACTAAATTGATAAAAGAATTTGAACCTCTTGCCCATCTTCCAAGTTTTTCCACTTGAATCCAGTCAATTCTTGATTCCCGAATTCTGTAGCATAACATGATCAATCGATTTGTACATTTGAAAGTATAAAGTAGATAAATTTTGAAAGGGTGCTAACCTTTTCTAGTAAGGCCAACAAGAAGAGACAAATACTCGTCGAGCGCTTTTTGTAATTCATCAATAGCAGACACATCTAGGTAACAAAATGAAGTACTGAATAGGGGTACAACAGGTGATGTAGTTTCAATATTTAGTGCATAATATATACCTGTATCTTGTGCGATGAGCAGAATCTGGTTCCTTATAGAAGTTAATCTATCAGCAAGATCCTTAGGAATGACACCCTTTAGTGTCCTGTGTAGATCACATTGAGCAGGAACACGCATTGAGGGGACAAATATGCTGACCTCAGGGATGATGCCCTTGTGCTTCTTCTTTTTTCCGACCTGGTAGACAGAAACCGCGCACCCCATTGCTCTTCAAGGGGACTGATCTCAACTAGTAACATCCTACGTAGGCATTGAATATTGAAAGATTCTGGCAATAACAAAGAACAAGATTAAACTATATATATACATTTATTATTTGCAATGTACATTAATAAATGCTGAGAACTTACTGCAAATGCCAGGCTGCTAGTGTGGGCTGACACCAAATTGTATCACTATCAGTATCACCTGTTTAAGTGACTATATCAACTGTGAAGTGAAGCTTCCAGGATGGTTTAACTTTACATTTATATTAATTAAAAGGAAAAGAAAAGAGTTGCAAGTGGGATCTACAATTATGTAGAAATCTGAGATTTGGAAGCAAATGATGAGGATTACGAGAAATAAGTCACATGCTAATGCGTAGGAAAGATTTATAACAATCTTGTATACTCGTACTATTATATTACTTGTAAGTTGTGAACTTTCTTCTAACAGCGGAAAATAAGGAATAAAGGAAGACATATATGCATTTTATTTTTCAAAGAGTATAACATGTGCAAAGGTGTTTGACTTTGAAGGAGTGAATTATTGAGCACTCTTCACTAATCAAATCTATCCCTTTTGAAGTTGTGCTTGTGTTGATTTTTATGTCAATTGCACTTGGCCTAAAAATCCATAATTGGTGAAGCGTTAAAGAACGGTGACTAATAATAAAATAGATGAAAATCATAAAAGAACAAGTTTAATTTAGATACATGGAATTCTTTTTATATGTCTAACTTATGATAGATAACGTTACTTGATATTTATATAAGTCGCCAGTAGAATAGGTGAAACTCTTACAAACTAGCTCGAACACCATCAATATTAAAATAAAACAGAATCGATTGTACATTATGGCCATGGAAATTCAATAACTTTGACTCAAATTAGGTATATATTTTAAGATATCAACTAAACATGAACAAATAGTAAATTTTAAATTCAGTAATTAAATTGAATAGTATATTCATTGACATTAGAGTCCAAATCATGAATCCATAGCCCAAAATGCGCACAAACTAGCGGAATAACACCATTATACAACTGATGAAAACCTAGGCATACCATTTGAGAATCATAACTAACTTAAGTTGGAATATACTATATGCATGATCTAGCCTCTCTTTTAGCATAAAAATAATTTCAATTATATGTCAATTTGCAATTATTAAATTGTAGGATACTTGATGCAAGAACATAGATTGACTCATTTGGCGTGTATGCATCTCATTTCTCAATTTCCCATCAATATTATTTAATCTGTCGGTACCACAATATTTAATACTACTTATAAAAAAAACCTATCAAGTTTTGCTGCATCAAATCAATATTGCAAATCCACGCTTGACAACTGGATCCTGACAAACAGCAACACTTACGTGTTACATGACGAGTTGGATCATATTTAGATAAGTGATCTTCAATTTATGAAAAAACATTTATTAATTAAACTTGGCTTAGGTAGTTAAAATTTGGTGGATTATTTCGATTTGCTATTACATAAACCTTTTTTAAAAAATAATTATTACTTCATTAAAGCAAGGTTGATTTGCACTCTTTTCTTGCTAAAGCATCAGTCACTCATTCACCTAAATGTGCATTACGTGAACCTTTATTATATAAATACTATACTACTCCATTCATTTTTAATTTAACTTGATATGAAGTTTAAGAAAATATTTTTTTAATTATATAATTCTAAAATAAAATTACATTAAGCGTATAAAATTATTTTTTAATGACCTTAAACAGATCACGTAAAAAAATAATATTAAAAAAAATTTATTCTTTTTATAATAAACCAAAAAAAAAGATATCATTCTTTGGAATATATTATATCTAACTCAACCAAATTTACTGGATCGACATGTTAAGGATCCGAATTGGCACACGTGGCTCCGTGGCGGTTAGGTATCCCAATTGTTTTTCCTTCTTTTGGTGGGTTAGGTAGCAAGGAAAATTAAAAAAATAATTATCTTTTTGTATTTGATAGATAAGGTCAAAAAAAATTATCTGCAAAATATTTATATATAATATATAAAATCGGCAAAACACTATGAAGGTGGGTGAAGGGTTATCCGGATAGGAATATGGGAGGGTGGAGATGGGGGTGAACGTGAAGATCATATGTATGTAAGGATGGAGAGGCTTTACAAACCAACATGGGTAAGTGTACCGATAGGAGTTGTTCATCTTTAATTAAAAATTTTAGGTTTGTCTTAGTATGAAAAAAGTCTCGTTGAGAGTGTCAATTTCGAATAGATCCTGCATAGCATGATTTGAATTTATTTGGAGCTCAAAAAAAAAAAAAGGATGAAAAAGTTTTTTCTATTTCATTTGTTCAAAAAAGAATGTCTCAATTTTAAGAAATCTATTTCATTTGTTCAAAAAAGAATGTCTCAATTTTTTTTTTAGTTTATTTAAAAAAGAACTATCAATATCCTTTTTTCGGAAATATACTTTAATTTCAGTTTTCAACGTGATATTTTGAAGGTCATAAAATAAAAGGACATTTTGATACATTTGACATAAATTTAATTTAGAACCATAAAATTAAAAAAATCATTTTTTTTAAACTCCGATTTTAGTTAATCTAAGACATTTTTTTAAACAGAGAAAATATTTAATTTTTTTTTTAAAAATATTTTGAAAATAATTGACCAAACAAATATGAAATTTGGAAAAAAAAATTCTTCATCCCTTTGTATGATCTTCCGATGCATAGGGGCATATTTTCCAATTCATCGTATCAAAAAGACATGTCTACATATATCGAGATACCCTTTTTCCCACTGCTATTTGCGATATAGTCACTTTTTGGCAACATTTTGTTAAGTTGCGTCTTAACTGACGTTTGCACTACTTCTCAAGGCTGCTGGGCTATCCACTTCACATATAGGGATGGATAGCCCATTTTTGATGGAGCCCAATAAAAAAAATAGGTTAGTCCAATGTAAGTTATCTTGCATAGTGGTGCATTTTAAATTGATTTTAGAAGAATTAATTCAAATAGTTGTCCATATATAAATACGTAAATTCAAAATAATTAGCAATTATAAAATATTTGCTTGATTTACATGTATATTCGTATAATCTATAAAGTGTATCCGAATAGTTATTTATGTAAAGATCATTATGACTGATAAATTTGTATGGGGGTCAACCCTTTAGAATCAATTATAACACTTGAAATTTGGTGATAATAAGCCTCTTTATCCTTCTTCACTTTGGATATCAGATTTAATTTTTGCTTGATCATAAATTTGGAAATTAGAGTTTCCAAGTTCGTTTGGTCACAGATTTTTCAAATATCTTTTTTTATTTGTAACAATAGTATTTGTTCATATAATTTGTTATTATTTGATAAATAATTCAAATTTCTAAATACTAAAAAAAATTAGTGTTTGGGTCAAATCTCATTATTTGAAAATTTTTAGTAATTCAAATTTTACACTAAACTTTTATCTTTTAGAAGAACACCCTTTGTAATAGTTGTTTGCGTTGTTTTACATAAAAAAAACTTTTACATGAACATCGAAATAGTGATAAAAGTTATTGATGAAAATGATAACAATTGGCTTAGGATAACAAAATCATATACTATATAATACAAACATATGGTTAATTTTAATAATTTTTAAAACTTACGAGTATAAATAATATTTCTTAAAAAGTTGTAATATATTCTCAAATAGTATGACCAAATACTTGGTGAAACTTCACCCAAATAATATTTATCAAAATATTTGAAAATTTATGATCAAACGCTAGCTTAGAGTTGTGAATTTTGAAGTTGGTTTTGAACACGTGTTTTACTTGAATAAAAATAAAATTTTCTGAGTGGAAGTAAAATTTGAAAATATTTGATAATTAATTCTTGATATTTAATTTAATTTATGACTAAATAAATACTTAAACATAAATATTAATATATAATCTAAAATTTATGAGAAAACACTAACTTAATTAGTTGTTTCCTTGCACAAGGCTGAACATGTGACCTAGATAAAAAAGTTTATCAACCTTTAATTTGCGGTCAAAGCTCCAGTATCGTAGATTTTGAAATAAGTAGTAGAATATTTATTTATTTTGTCCACAATATATTGCGCGCATCAAATAAGCATGAATATGTTTCATTAATTGCATATATTCTCGTGTCGTCTCTAGTAGTCTAGTTATTAGATTTTCAGCTAATGATAGTATCAATTTTCAAATTGACATATAAAATGGTTTGGCCGACATATTTGTCAACATTAATGAATACAATTTGTGAAGAGGATAAGTACATGTAACATGTTACTCCATCAATTATTAACGTATTCACGGGCTTTTTAGTTGACTAACAACTTCTATGATGTTTCAACTTGTGTGTCACATGATGAATTAAAGACAAGGAAACTGATTAACTAGGCATAGGCCTATTATTAGCATATAATTAAATTGGTAAGAAATCGACTAATTACAACTTTTTGATAAAAAGGGCACGTGAAATGCCAAGAAAGAAAAATAAAACAATTGGAAAATTAGAGCTTCAGTCAAAGAAACAGAAGAACAAAACTCCTGTTGTTACCTTAACGAAAGGAAAAAAAAAAGAGAAGATAGTCCTTAAATTATTTAACCGGACAATGAAATAATATTTTACGCGAAATAAAACATAAACTCAAATGGAATATATTCAGCCTGCCTCGGGAGAAGGTTTAAGAAATATAATTAATAAATTATTTGCTATACCATAATTTCCATCTTCTTGATTAGTAAAGCATCAAAAGATAAATAAAACTGGGGATTTTCTAATTAGTTGTGATTTGCATCAACTTTTTGAGGCAAAAGGAATAAAGCTAAAAACTTGATAGTGCATATTAAAGTAAGTTAACCTCCAAAAAGAAGAGTAAAACCATTTGAATAACAGTTTTAAAAAGAAGGGAAAAGTTAACAGGGGCTTTAGTAATAAAGAAGATTCCAAATTGAAAGGTCAAAACATGCTTTAATCTTTTCTAATTGGACTTCTCTAGTACTGTGATTACCAATAAATAAAGTTGAGTTCTGAGTTAGGATTTTAATAAACTTGTTCCTTTGGCATCATTAAACAAATATAAACAAAAATCGAATTATATATGCGAAAATGTAAAAGGATAGAAATTAATCTATCTATCCAATTTCAAGTGAAAAAAATAGAAGTTCACTACTAGAAAGGGGTTATAAAAAAATAAATTCTTTGATTGTGAATTTATATATGAAATTTTTTATTTGAAATAATATTATATATTTGAAAAATGTAGATCATGATACTCACCATTATTATAAATTTAAATCTCTAACTTAAAAAAATAAAAGCCCGCTCCTGAGAAGGGGTAGTAAATAAATAAATTCTTTAATTGTAAATTTAAATATGAAAATTCTAAGTTTTTATTATTGAAATAAAATTATATATTTGAAAAATAGGTCATGATACTCACATTATTACAAATTTAAATTTCTAACTATAAAAAATATCATAGTATAATTTAGACGAAAAAATTTACAGCATCCATACAAAAATATAACATCAACATCCACGGTTTGCGCGGAGGCTTTTCTGCGGGACATTTTCCTTACGGCTTCAAGCCGGGAAATTGAAATAGTGTAATGGTAGTCATGTTTTCTATCTCATTGGCATAATATATGTCATAAATTTTAATTTGATTTTAACGAATAATTATTTCTTTTAATATATATATAACGTTACGTAGATATGTATATATCATACAAACATAATACACACAAAATATAAAATTATCATATAACATAAATACATTTATTCATCTAATTTCATAGACAGTTAAATATCTATTCATGTACATTTAAATTCAGTGACAATACTAACCAATTACCTCAAATTAAAGGGTGATGAATTATTATGCCCGTATGATTTGAATGACCTATTGGCAATAATAACTGAAAGATGCCAAAAAGCGGAGATATATTTTAGAACGAAGAAAAAGGTCCCCCAATTCCCAAGATATCAATAATTTAGACCACAAAACATCCCTTGTTCAAGCCAAGTAATCTGACAGGCTGTACACAAGGGCCCAAATTCCAACACTTGCACCTTAGCTTCCTCCTCTCTATGTAAACCCCAAAAAGGACTTGGATTATGTTCTTCTTTAATTCCATCTACTTTTCATCTTTTTATAACAATAATAATATTGTCTTCTTTTTTTCCTTTTTTCACAATATTATTTTTAATAATCTTATTTTAAAAGAAGATTTGCATCTCAGTTTCAGGCTTCACACTTGACGATTGACAATCACGTGCCCTATCACTAATCTACATGATATGGTACAAGTTACAACGCTGACTAGTGACTGAAATGTTGGTTTACAGTATCTTTCAACATGATCACTGCACTTCTTCCAAAAGAATTGATTATTTAAAATTGGAGCATGTAATTTGATTCTGAGGTTGTTATATATTTTTAAAAATAAAATTAAGAATAAATTTGTTTCCATTGTAGATAAAAATAGAGCTAAGGAAATTTCCAGTGGGTGGGTGGGGTCTCTAAAGATTGCAAGTACTATGAGATATAGTGCTTTTCTGAGACTCTGTATGAAAAGAAAACTGTCACCATTAAAGCCAGAAACCTCAGCCCCTGTTTTTTCTCCTTTACTTGCTCTGCATGCCAACTACCCTCAATTTTGATCTCTGTTTTTTTTTAAAAAAAAATTTCAATCTTGTTCTTCTCCCAAGCAAAAAAAATATAATAAAAAAGAACATTCCTTTAATTTGCAATATAAGGCAATCTATTCGCATTTTTAATGAGGTTTTATCAAGATCGTAGCAGCATTAACTGTTTGGTAGCTCAATCTTGACTTGTCTGCACATTTAGACTTTAATGCTTTTCATTTTCACTGAACTAGAAAGGGTCCACCCATATAATTTCCTTATTCATGATTAGCCAAGAACGTAAAATGGGTTGCTTCAAGATACTTGGAAACTTGGCTCCATTTTGAAGTCACTGCTAAATGGGTTTCTTCAATATTTTTGTGATAGTATTGGTTATTTGCGCTTTCTTTATAGCAAATACTTATCAGTTACAGTCCTATGAAATTCAAGCTCTTCTTCAGTTGAGGAAGCACTTGGAATATCCAGTTCAGTTGGATGTTTGGGAGAATTACCATGGAGATTTTTGCAGCTTGACTTCAACACTGCATATGAGCATTAACTGTCAAGATAACTCTGTTACTGAACTCAAAATCAAAGGAGATAAGTTAGTTAAGTTGAATGAATTTCATGGATTTGCAATTCCAAACCAAACATTATCTGAGGGTTTCTCCATTGATTCTTTTGTTACCACATTGACAAGGTTACGTAGCTTAAAGGTTCTTACTTTAGTTTCTCTTGGTATTTGGGGACCCCTTCCTGATAAAATTCATAGGTTAGCTTCACTTGAACTTTTGGATATGAGTTCAAATTTTCTATTTGGTTCTGTTCCTTTTCAGATGTCAAGATTGATTAAGCTTCATACTTTGACATTAGATGGCAACTTTTTCAATGAAACTTTCCCTGATTGGTTTGATTCATTACACAATCTTACTATATTAAGCTTGAAGAACAACAGGTTGAAGGGTCAGTTTCCTTCTACAATCTCTAAAATCACAACCCTCACTGACATTGTTCTGTCACACAATGTGCTTTCTGGTAAATTGCCCGATTTAACAGCCTTGTCTAAGTTGCTTTTGTTGGATTTAAGGGAAAATCATTTGGATTCTGAACTGCCACCCTTGCCAAAAAGACTTACCACACTTCTACTTAGCAGTAACATTTTTACGGGTGAAATCCCAGTAGAATTTGGCACACTAAATCAACTTCAACACCTTGACCTGTCGAATAATTCTCTCAGTGGAATGCTTCCTGCTGGCTTATTCTCTTTGTCTAGCATTAGTTACTTGAATTTAGCATCTAATGTTCTTAGTGGTTCACTTCCTAGCCATCTAAATTGTGGGGGTGAACTTGGTTTTGTTGATATTTCTGATAATAGATTAGTTGGTGTACTTCCTTCTTGCTTGAACACCATATCAGATAAGCGAATTGTTAAGGTCGGTGGAAATTGCTTGTCTCTTGACACTCAATATCAGCATTCAGAGGGCTATTGCAAACAAGCAAACTCGGATAAGAAACGAATTACAGGAAAAGAAATAGCATTATTAACAGGTGTCATTGGGGGGATTGTAATTGTTGTGGTGTTTCTGTTAGTTGTGCTTCTCATCTTCCGTAGAAAACGACATGCGCATAACATGGTGGATAAGCACATCCCTCCGAAAGTTGTGCAAAGTACACAGCCGGTTCCCTCTGGACTCCTAGTAAATGCCAGTGAGTTGATGTTTTTCTTGTTTCATGTTTAATCTGTTTAATTTATATGAAGAAAATGTTCTCCAGAAAAGCTTGAACTCAATCTTCAAATTCTCAGGAGTCATTTCTCAAGTGGCAAACACAGGATCACAAGGTGCCCCATCATATCGAGTGTTCTCCATGGAAGAATTGCTAGAAGCAACAGAAAATTTTGATCAGTCAGCATTACTTGGTGAAGGTTCAGTTGGAAAAGTATGGCTTCTAAACAATCTCTATGGTTCTCATTGATAATTATTTATCTTCTTGATGTTTCCATTCAATGGTCACGCTAAATTTTGGCTCAATGTGATATACTTGCTGTAAAACTTGAATAAATGAAGCAGGGCGTAAGTTTTTTGTGTAAATTTTGTTGCATAGACCATGTCCAACAACGATAATGCAATGAATGCACTAGTTCGCCAAAGTACAAAATAGATTTGGGTGTTTTTCTTTTTTAGTACTTACCTATCATATTTGCATTCTTAATGTGCATATGTGACTTCATAAAAACTGGTGTCACCAGTAATGCTTTTGTGCATTTGATTTAATATCTAATGAACACATGACAGTTCAATTAAATATACAGAATACCCTTAAAGGCAAAATTGGATAGTCTCATACGTTTGAGTGCCTATGCAGTGAGTTGACATCTCTGCAACTTTGATTGATATGGTGTTAGCGTTATTATGTCTTTCTTGAAAAAGACAGTTAATTTAGTTATATGCATTCCCTCAATATTTATCTCCATTTCAGATTTACAAGGGAAGATTAGAGAATGGAGCTTACATTGCTGTAAGGTCACTAAATGTGTACAGAAGATACTCTAACCGGAACCTCAAACTGCGATTGGACTTACTGTCAAAGTTTCGTCACCCCCATTTAGTTAGCCTTCTGGGTCACTGCATTGATGGTGGAGCACCAGATGATTCAACTGTCCCCCGAATTTTTCTCATTTATGAATATATCTCTAATGGAAACTTTCGTGCTCATCTATCAGGTCAGCTATGTAAAACCTTTAGCATGAGCATTTCATCTGTTTTGATGCTTGGTTGAATATGGAAGTATTATATGCACATATGGAGCGCTGGTTTGATTCTTTTCTCCCAGAAATGATTGGGATACCCTCGTTGATGAATCTCTATGTAGCATTGCAAGTATTTTGCTGCTTATGAGGTTGAGACATCTTATTCATCATATTAATTTCACACATAGTGCTATTCAGTATGCAATCACTGTCAGTTTGATTGAGCAACAATGTAATGATTCACTTACATGAAGTTCTTTTGGTTGACTTTCATACTGAGAAACTGTTGGACCTTTATTTTTGTTCTTATATATTTTCACTTAACCCTGCATGTCCAATACAGAAAATACAAGAGACATGCCATAACGTATTCAGCTTATCTCAAACACTTGAACTTGCAGAAAATAGTTCAAGAAAGATCCTCAAGTGGTTAGACAGGTTGTCAGTGCTGATTGGTGTTGCCAAGGCAGTGCACTTTCTTCACACAGGTGTAATTCCTTCTTCATTTAGCAACCGCTTGAAGACGAGTAACATATTGCTTGATGAGCATAACATGGCAAAACTAAGTGATTTTGGGATGTCCATTCTTATGGAAGAAAGTGAAAAGGTGGGTACTTTAATATTTTGTGTGAAAGGTGAAAATTCAAAATTTAGGATAGCTGGTAATTTCTCATGCTGAATATGTCTTTTTTCAGGCAAAAGGAGATGACGTCACCTCCTGGTATGAAACTCTTTACTCATATATTCTGTAACGTGCCTTAGCAACTTTCTTATGCTACACCAACTGGCATTCTATTTCAAAAATGTGAACTAGAGTCATATATATCATCTACCATAGCTGTTTGCAGGATATAATCAGTGATATTTTATTCTCGTGTAGGCATATGACAAAGAAAGAGGACGATGTTTATAACTTTGGTTTCATATTACTGGAATCGCTGGTTGGCCCTTCTGTCAGTGGAAAAGGAGAAGCATTTTTGATGAATGAAATGGTATGGAACTGCTATATTATTATGTATTCAACTCCTTTGCCATTGACAGTAACGTAAAGTACTCTTCAGCAATTTGTTCCCTTTAGGATCCTAAACGTTCTTGGAATGTTGGATAAGTAACAAAAGTTCATTCTCTGCATCCCAACTTTACAATCAGTACTAATATAGATTAACAGAACTACCCACATTATGTAATTTTTATAAGGTTTCCTTCTGATATGCAAGTACCAAAGGGAGAAAAGTTGAGTCTGATATAAAAGAGTCAAAAGTCTTGATTTTTTCACTGGTGTATTATCGCATGCCAAACGCCTACTTAGATTTTCTCTTTGAATTACAGGCATCCTTTGGTAGCCAAGATGGTCGACGCAGAATTGTGGATCCAATAGTGCTAGCCACTAGCTCCAATGAGTCTTTGTCAATTGTAATATCCATCACCAACAAATGCATATCTACAGAGTCGTCAACTCGGCCCTCGTTTGAGGATGTTCTGTGGAACCTACAATATGCTGCTCAAGTTCAAGCTACAGCTGATGCAGATCAGAAATCCGATGCTACTTCACCGACATAAGGAGTCCAAGCGCATACTTAATTTGGTCAGAGCATAGGAGAATGTTAGCTGATTAATTTCATGATGGTTGTGGGAGTACCAACCGGTAGGCTAGCCTTAAAGCTCAAGTTTAAGCTACAGGTCCCCCTATATTTTGTATCAGAAGTGTAAATTTTGTTGATTCTAGTAATAGGTGATGTTTCCATATAGCATAGACCCTCATTTTAAATTCCATCATTGCAACTAGGCAATTGAAGTCGTACAAATCTAGATTCAGACAAGACAATACATATGTTTGGTGCAACGGAAATAAAAAGAAGAAGATATGATAGACATCAAATATTTTGGTGCAGTTGGTTGAATTACTTGCACGTAAAATTGAAGGACAAAAATAGGCAATATGATTAGCAAATGGTAAGTTCCGGCTTCATTAACTTATTTGATTTACCCATCTTATGGTAAAGGCAACTAATAGTAACATAAAATTGGATCTGTGTGGAATGAAGTGATCCATAAACAAATAAACAATACTTTCATATCTTTTAATGTTTAAATTTTTTTAATTAAAAAAAAAGCAGCTTTAAGAGGGCTACAAAATTAAATCCTTTTGAATTGAGAAAGAAGAGGGAGGACAAAATCAAACAGTGGGCCGCTGTTGAGCAGTACCGACAAGGGCCATGTTTGGTTTTATCATTCTTTAATATGAACGTGCCACCAACTAAAATCTTTTTAGAATCTATTTACGAAACCTTCATTTTCATATTTCCTGGTTGTATTGTGTTCCACATATTTATTAATCTATAAAAACCATTATAAATAATTTGTGAAATGTAGTTATCACATAAATTTTTGCAGTAATCATCAATAATTCATAACATGAAAATGCTAATCGACCAACTTGTCTTAAAATATATTAATAGTAAGAAATCCTTACAAAATTTTACTATATAAAGCTCAAATTCATTTAAAAAGGAAATTCCTTCTTCAATAATTGAAAACACGCATCTAGCTTAAAATAACAGTATTTGCAATCCTTATTCAGGTAGTTTAAGCTCTATGAATTATCATGCCAAAAATATTTTTACTACTCCCTTCATTTTATATTAAATTAATTTTTGAGACTGATTCTCCAAATTTACCCTTCATTAATTCAGTAATTAATTAATATTAAATTATTTTAATCATAAAATTTAACAATAATTAATAAAAAAATTAAATGAAATTTATATCTTAATCTACTACCTCAAAAACTAACTAAATATAAAACGAAGAAAGTGCTAGATAATTATAAGTTGGTACGTATCTAATTGTTTAGTTCAAAGTTTTGAGAATAAATTTTCTTTAGCCCAATGTCATACTTATATGTAATTTTCATATATAAAAAATATATAGAGAGCATATAAAAATGCTTATTGTTAATTTTTACATCTCTTCCTTTATCAGTCATCTTTTATATAAAAATATTTTGTTAAAAAATTAATAATTAAAACCCATAACGTTAATTCGAAAAATATTTTTACCATCTCTTCCTTTATAGTAATCTTTTATTGATAATCTTGGAAATAGTAGTTGGTATGGATGTGGGAGAAGCAAAATAAATGGAGTTGGCGTATGACCCCATGTCGGCGGAATCATTCAAATCCCAATTTCAAGAGCTACCCCACCCTTCTCATAACTACACGCGCCTTTCCGTACTTTGAACTTCCTTCACCCAACCATTTTATGATATCAATTTTGAAAAGTAAAAATATGAAGAATGAATAAAATACTCTATTTTTTTGTTTTTAAAATTAAGAAATAAAAGTGAAAGTAAAAATTACATAAATAAAAATAAAATTTTAAGAGGCAATTTCATTTTAGCTTTGATTACATGTTGGTTTGTATTGCACCTTCATAATTGCGAGTAGAATCTTTTGGACAGCCGGAAAGCACCATTGATTTTGAAGCATCAGCCTCCACCACTCGACGTTTGTATTTTCCATGCTCATTTCTTTATTTACCAATTGGAATAAAACATTCTTCTCACACTTCCTCTAGGCTGTGTGTCGGCAACCACTGCAATGTTCTACTCTCCTCCTAAGTATGTCTCCTCCAAATCTCTATCTTTTTCTTTTTATGTCTGCAATGGCTTCATTTTTGTACTCTCCTTTGCTTCTTAACTTGGTTCTTTTATGAACATTTGATTTTGTTTTGTTTTCTAATTTCTATGGGCTATTGATTGGCTTAAGCATTTAAGGTGAGTGTTAAATAGACTCTCAATGTGCTCTTTTGAAGATTGACAATGAAAATATAAGCCTGATACTCTAATCACATTTATTCCACAAGTTCTACTCACCTACTGATGGTACTTTTTTTTTCCCCGCTGATTCCCTTGTCTTGCATTTATTGTGTTCAACAGTAGATTAGTCCAGTTTAGAAAAGATTAGTAGATTAGCCAAGGTAACAAGTTTGTTTTGTTTTTAGCCATTGCAGGCTTTGTTAGAATTCCATTTTACATTTGTGTATCGGAAATCATGGTTTCGGGACTGAGGGCGAAAACTAGGAAAGGTCCCTCAGTTCAAGTAGATTATCTAATTCATATTCAGGAGATCAAACCTTGGCCTCCCTCGCAGTCATTGAAGTCGGTTCGTGCTATTGTGATCCAATGGGAAAATGGAGATAGGAATGGTTCTACTAGTCAAGTTGTCCCATTTTTAGGCTCTGGTGTTGGTGATGGAAGAATTGAGTTCAATGAGTCCTTTAAACTACCTGTGACACTACTGAAGGAAATTTCTAATAAAGGGGGTGATGGAAACAGTTTTCAAAAAAATTGCATGGAGTTCAACTTGTATGAACCCCGACGTGACAAGACAGTCAAAGGTCAACCCTTAGGAACTGCTGTTATCAATTTGGCTGAATATGCTGTTATCAAGGAGGGTTTGAATGTAAGTGCCCCTATTAATTGCACAAGGGCTTATAGGAACACTACACAGGCCCTTCTCTTCCTGAAAATCCAGCCATTTGAGAAAGGTCGCGTCAGCTCCTCATCTTCAAGTCACATTTTAACGAGGGAAGTGTCAATAGACCGTAATGGTGTTGAATCTCTGTCTACATTGACAAGTGAAGAATGTGCTGAGGAAGCTGAGACTGCCTCATTTACCGATGATGATGGTTCCTCGCACTCATCAGTTGCTGTTTCTTCTTCAGCTAATGGATCGAACTGTGGTTCACTACCACAAGGAGAGGTATGACGCTTACTTTTCAATCTAGTTTTTTACTATGCCGAAGAATTCAGTTTATGTGATACGAGTACTTCCCTTCTGTTGCTTCCAAATTGCATGGCGCAAGGAACTTTTTCGGTTGTGTTTGTTTAGTACACACTTCGTATAGGAGATGGGACGTTATTTCATGATATCCCTTTTTATATTAAACACAACTATTTCTTGTGCACATGTGCTTGATGTAATTTATGGTAGTTAATGCGCGGCATTGCCAATTCTGTAAACAAAAATACAAAATACTGAGTAGCTTGACACCTAGCGATCATTACAGGATGAAGCTGAGGGAGTGAAAAGTAATCCTGGACAACATGAAGATGAACATCTCCTACATTCAAAGAAAAAATCTGTAGATTTGGATGAGAAGCAAGTGGTGAAATCATTATCTGATTTGAAGGGAAGTCCATCTCCCTCTTCAACTGATTTGTCTTCTGACTTGGCATGGCTCTCAAGGAAAATAGGTGGTAGTGGTAGCAATAAATTCTCAACCTCAAGTGAGAATGAAATAACTGAAAACTCTCAGAATCCGCGGGTGATGACCAAACATGTTGAACCAGAAAGAATACTGGCTAACAGTGAAAGTGATGGTGAAATATATACTCCTCAAAAATCTGATGAAGGGAGGGTCAATAGTCATCCAGATCAAGAAGGCTTTCCAATTTCACATATCACAGATGAGAGTAAATGCTTTATGAACTCAGCAAGTCATTTCTCCAGTTCTGAGAATGCTGATAATGCTTCTACTCCTATTGCGGATAGGCATGAGGATGTGATAGATATTGTTACCAAAAATGGTTCTTATGAGGGTGAAAACAGTGAGAATTATCAAGAGAGGAGGCAAGAATCTGGTGTCTATAATATAGAGAATTATCAGGAAAATGGAAAAGTACAAGAAATTGTCGAAGAGGAAGACAGTGAGGATTCTATGAAGAATGACTCAGAAAAAAGTGACGTAAATTCTACTGACTCTGAGAATGCTTTCACTCCTCTTGGAAATAGGCATGAAGATGCGAGAGCTGTTGTTACCAAGAATGGTTCTTGTGAGGGTCAAAACAGTGAGAATTATCAAGAGAGGGAGAACTATCAGGAAAATGAACAAGTACAAGAAATAGTCGAAGAGGAAGAAAGTGAGGATGCTATGAAGAATGTCTCAGAAGAAAGTGATGTAAATTCTACTGACACGGACAGTTATGGAGCAAAGAGTAGTATCCTGAATAATGAGAGATTAAAGCATGTAAAGTCAGTTAGGTCATCAGCAGAACCTAATAGAGTAAGAGGGTCTGTCAGGGGCAATCAACTTTTAGCACAAGATAAATTGATTAGTACTCAAGATTTAGGAAATGAGTGGAAAAATCGAAATGCGCATTCAACAATTCTTTTGGAAAACAAACTCCATAAGTTGGAGCAAAGAGTAAAGATGGCAGAAGGAGAATTGAGAGAAGCTGCTGCAATTGAAGTTGGCCTCTATTCGGTTGTTGCAGAGCATGGGAGTTCCACAAATAAGGTACATGCTCCTGCAAGACGTCTGTCGAGGTTCTATTTCCATGCCTGTAAAGATGACTCTCTATTGAAAAGGGGATCTGCTGCTAAAAGTGCTGTCTCTGGATTAATTTTGGTTGCAAGAGCATGTGGAAATGATGTTCCAAGGTACTTCCTAGTTTACAATCATTTTTTGCATTTAGTAGCAGTTTTGTATTTTTCACCACCATACACATATAAGCTATAACACATTCTTACTAGAACAAGTTTTCAATAACAAGTACTCACTTTTGTTTCAGTTTGTTTGTCTGATTTTGACTTGACATGAAATTTAAGAAAGTAAAGGTACTTTTGAATATTGTGGTCTTAAACTAAAAATATGTAGAATTTACCAAAATGCTTTTTAATCTTGTAATCTTAAACATGCCAAAACTGGAATTAAAGAATAGCCAAAAAACAGAAGAAAGGTATTCTTTTTGAAACAGACTATGAAGGAAACTAAGAAAGCATATTGAACCAGAGGGAGTATTTTGATATGAAAACCTAGCTGCAACCATATAACAGTACTTTTGAAGTTCTTTCATACACTCATCTCCGAGCAACTTTGCAGACCTGTGATGGGTTATCTCTTGGTCTTAACATGAGTACACAACAAGCTATTTTTCAAAGGCTCAAGTACTATGATATCATCGCCTTTTATCATGGAAGGAAGCTAAGTTGTATGCCCAAGAAAGTATTTATGATTCCCCCTAATTATTCTTATTTTATGTCTGAGCACAGGTTAACTTTCTGGTTATCAAATTCGGTGGTGCTGAGAGCAACTATAAGCAAATTCCAGCGGCAGCTGTGTTTGCCCCGTACTACTGAAACTATTCTTGGAGAGGCTGTTTCCAAGGACAAGAAGAAGATATCTTCTCCACTTAAGTGGGAGACTTTTTCCAGCAATGTTACAAAGGATGATTTTTGTGAAAGTTTTGGTAATTGGGAGGACCCTCGTACATTTACGAGAGCACTTCAGAGAACAGAGGCCTGGATATTCTCCCTTATCGTTGAATCTATTTGGTGGCAGGTCTCTCTTCCAGGTCCATTTGAACTTTGAAATAGAAGAATATATTATCTAATTCATTAATACAACTGCCCTTTTGTTTTTTCAGACTCTCACTCCACATATGCAATCTGGTGCTGCAAAAGAAATCCGCGAAAGTATGAATTCTTTGATAAGCAAAGTTTATAGAAGGACAGCAACTTCAGATAATGAAGAGCATGGAAGTTATTCTTCAGAGCTTTGGAAGAAAGCCTTCAAGGATGCATGTGAAAGAATTTGCCCTGTTAGAGCTGGAGGGCACGAGTGTGGTTGTTTGCGTTTTCTATCTAAACTGGTACTAGCTGGCACATTGTCCTTCAAATCTATTTTAACTACTTATTACATGTAATATTATTAGTCTGAGTAAAACTTAACATGCTCTTGATATTCTATAATATTTCTGTCTTTTTGCTGAGAATGTCATTCTTGTAACCAGATAATGGAACAATGTGTGGCTAGACTGGATGTAGCTATGTTCAATGCAATCCTTCGAGAGTCTGCTGATGAGATTCCTTCAGATCCTATATCAGACCCCATTAGTGATGCCGATGTTCTTCCTATTCCAGCTGGACAGGCTAGTTTTGGGGCGGGGGCACAACTGAAAAATACGGTAAGAATTACAGTTGGATTTTGCCCGGTGAAATGAAATAGTAGAGTTTAGACGTGAGGATATATAGCTACTTTCCTGTTGTTATGAAAAGTGTTGTCACATAGAAGCCTTTGATGGAGGGGAAGCTTATATTTCATTAACCTTCTTTTTTACTTATCAAAAATAAATCCACTTTCCCCTCTTTTGTATCCAATATAAAGGGAATTTTTAAAATCAATCGTGCTCATTCAATTACAGACTTGTTTACCAATTACAAACCTATTATTTTTCCTAACTAATTTTTTCCCTATTTGTACATTCAACCCCTAATTTTCTGCATGTACATTCTAATGGACATTGCGTAGATGTGACAATCCCCTCGGGATTCACATATTCAGGTATTGTCTCTGCCATTGGCGGCCATTCGCTCTTTTAATCCCCTCTTATTGGCTTGCTGCCTCAAGGGAATGTAAAGGAGCCATAGGTCACGGGTTCGATTCTCCCTTGAGGCTGCGAGCCAATAAGAGGGGATTAAAAGAGCGAATGGCCGCCCATGGCAGAGACAATACCTGAGTATGTGGATCCCGAGGGGGTTGTCACAATGGCAGAGACAATACCTGAATATGTGAATCCCGAGGGGGTTGTCACAGTAGATGTCATGGGCAATGTTTGTGAAACATTATTATTTATCCTTTGATAGAGATTCAATTTTTTCAATGTGGATCACAGGTTGGGAATTGGTCCAGATGGCTTACTGACCTTTTCGACATTGATGATGGGGAATCACTAAAAAATAGTAATGAAGAGAATGGGAGTAAAGAACTTGACACCTCTGCAAAGTCTTTCTACCTTCTAAATGCATTGAGTGATCTTATGATGCTTCCAAAGGATATGCTTTTAAGCAGGACAATGAGAAAAGAGGTTAGACTCAGAACCCAACCATTTGCTATTCTTTGTTTCTTTATTTTTTCCCCTCTTTGATAAGTTGCTGTTTGTTTCTTCAGGTATGTCCGGCACTTGGTCCTTTGCTAATAAGAAGGGTTCTTAATATATTTGTTCCAGATGAGTTTTGTTGTGATTCAATACCTGAAGCGGTATTTGAAGTTCTCTCAGAGGTAAATCTATGTCTTAATTCATTTTTTAAGCTTGAGTTTCAGCTTTATCTGGAAAATATTTTGTTGTTTATTTCCCTTGCTGGAAGTTGAAGCTAAGGTAGCAGCTGGAGTATAATGTCAAGCCTTATATCAATGAAGTAAGTCTTACAAGTCATTTTTTCCCCTTTTTTCTGGCTAGGAACCTTCTGAGGCTGAGGGTGATTCTGTTACAAACTATCCGTGCACAGCAGCTCCTGTGGCTTATATGCCACCTCCAATAGCTTCAGTAGCTGGTATGTTGGGCGATGGGTATAGCTATTCTATGTTGACACGAAGTGCATCTTCAGTGCTCAAAAAGTCATACACAAGTGATGAGGAACTTGAGCTATTGGATTCACCGTTGAATTTTATCATTAGTGATGGCACTGAAGCTTCACATTCTTTAGTAAAACAGAGTTCCATGCCAAAAAATAGTGGAAGGCAGAGGTACCAACTCCTTCGGGAGGTTTGGATTAACAGTGAGTAAAATGAGTAGTTGTGGTGTTAACAGATTTCTTGGTTTTCATCTAAAGGAAGATAGGGATCGATGATGAGAGTATGATTTGTGGATATGAGAAGCACTTGTTATGCATCTTCACGTGTAGATATTGTAGGAGTTAGGTGTCTGTAGAAATATTTGATAAACTTGAATGGGAAAAGGTGTTGTTCTTTTTGTGATTGAGTTATTGCAGTTGTTCTACTGCTTCATAATGTATAGTAGTTTCCATAGTTACTTCACCAGTATAAACTCAAACTACAAAGTTAACACACGAAACCACACTCAATAGTTATATAGATGGAACATTTTACAAACTGTGTTCTGCTAGAGATAACATGGTTACACTCGTAAACAAGAATGAAACAAAAACTAGCTATACATTGCCGGTCAAAACTGATATTGATACACTCATATCACTGCACATAATATACTTGCAAAAAGAATTAAGTAACACAGGAGAATCGTATCAGCATCCTGCAGTCAACTGTGTTGAACCAACTGCACTCATCATGTGCTGAAGTTGCAATGCAGCCAAAAGGCCTTGCCAAGTTTCAGCAGGCCCTCCTGCTACTTGATAATTGAGGAGCTTTTTCTGCTTCCTATAATATTCTTCTAAGGGTTTGATCTTCAAAATAATATACAGAACAATAACATGTATTAGTTGCCTTTGTAGTTCAACTGAGAAAACAATGAGTAATGATTCTGCATCAAGATGGTGACAATCATACTAAGATATATAAAGCTCATCATCTGTGAAGCACATGCAGAGAGTAAATGTGAAAGCATATTGAATTGAGTGGTTTGAGATATATCTTTTGACATTGTGATATAAACTCTTCAGCATGATTAGTCCAACTATGGATGATCATGAACGCTTTTAATTTTTGTGACAAATCTTTTGTTCATATATTTACAGTAACAGAACTGCTAGGCAATCTCAAATGTTTTCTTGGCTACTGTTATTGTTAACTTGTAAAATTTACAATATGTCAGACAGATACCTGTTCATCATGATCATATTGCTTCTCTTTCCAGGCACCACCATCCATGACCCTTGAAGACATTAAATTACCTCTCTTAAGGAGTTGATCTTCAGTTGAATAAATTCCATTGCTTCTATCATTCTTTGACACGGAACACTTGAGATTCAGAACTAAATCTATGTCCACAACTTTGTCAAGGATTTCCTACATAAAGATATATCAGAAAAACCGACTCAATTTTTCATGAGAAAAATGAAGAGCCCTTCCTTAAGTGAGGAGGGAGAGGTATACATACAGCCTGAAGCATTGTACGAGGAATTCCATCTAAAATGAACCCGTTTTCACCTCTGCAATGACCTTCTTCTAGCCTCTTTGATAACAAACCAAAAATAACTTCTTCTGGAACATGCTTTCCCTCATTCACAACACTTGATATCTTCATACAACCATAAATTATTTCAATAAAAGCATATTGGTCATATTGTTAAAAGATAAATAAATACCTTGTTATAGTGAGGGTTGAGTTGTTGAGGTACGAGAGAGCCCATGGAAATATATGGAACGTCCATAAGTTTGGACAGCCATTGGGCGTACACGTGTCTCTGCGTCATTGGATGACCCATGATCAGCCACTGTACTCCTCTGCGTGGAACTGATCCTGATGGTTCCTCCATATCCTCCTCATTGTCGTAATCAAAGTGAGCTGCAACAGCTGAACCGTAGGCCCGAACCGACTTGCTTGAAGCAGCCCGAAGAAATGTTCGGGCGGAAACTCCGAGGAAGCTCAACATTGCCATGGCGTGTGGGAGGTGTAAATGGTGGTTGTTTATAAAATGGGAATGATGCTGAAAATGTGTAGGATTTAGGTGGATGGCATGAATCAAAGGAGTTGACCAACAAATGTTTTCACTAGACTCGGTCTTACGACTCCCATTATCTTTCACCTATCAAATTACTCGCTTAACAAAATGGATTTTATGACATATTGAAAGAAAGAAAAAAAAACACATTTTCTAATCTTAACTTATAATTACAATTCTTTAAAATTTAAAGTTAAAATCAATAAACAAATTCAAATTGAAAAATAATCATATAAATAAATTGATGGTGGGCGTGGGGCATGTGCATTGTAAATGACATGTGGACCTCCTGGAATATTATTGTGTTTAAATTGATCATTTTATAAAATTAAAGAAAAGTGAAAGCAGAAAAAATCAATCAAAATCGCCCACCGTCCTCCTGGAATATTATTGTGTTTAAATTGATAAAGGGAAGTAAAAAAAACAGAAAAAATCAATTTAAATCGCCCACCGTGGGGCTCGAACCCACGACCACAAGGTTAAGAGCCTTGCGCTCTACCAACTGAGCTAGACGGGCTAATCAACAAGTTTTTCACTTTTAATTATTTCATTGAAACACTCTGATCAGGTTAGCGATTATTAATTGGTTTCATTAAAAAAAATATTGAATTAACAATTCAATGTTTGATTTTTGAATATTGGGTTAAACGATAACCCATTAAAAATGTAATAATTTACTATTGTAACTTTTAATCATACATAACTAACTGTCAAACAAAAATTATTAATATAATTATTATACTAGACTGACTATAAGGATCCTACGCAATTAACATAACTTAACTCTGCTCACTCCATTTACCTTTTAGGTTGTAGTATTATTTGTAGTACTTTCGTTCACAATGTCAAAACTTAAAGGACTAAGAATAGTTAGGGTTCACAACAACGACAACAAGTGTTAAAGCAATAACTAGGGCTGTGAATTGTGTATTTACGCTCAATGAGCAATTTGATTTCTCTCTTTTCTATTTCATGCCAATTATTGAATAAGTCATATATTTGTTTTGAAAACAATTTCTTATTGATTAAATTAAAATCTATTAACTAAAAATCGATAACAAATATCTTATTAATTTTAATTATTAATTATTTAAAAATTAAAAATCAATAAATCAAACAGAAAATACTTAAAACCTAATTGAACTGACTAACACCCCAATTCCACTTGCTAAAAAATATTATAAGAGCTTCGAGAAAAGATAAAATTCTTTAAAAAAAAAGAAAGAATTGCTTGGACTTTGAACTATTATTCCTCGTTTGGGTTTCCTAGTCTCCTTCCCCGTGACTTGGTACATTAGAATCAGCTTCTTTCTAGGTTTCTTCCCAAATCATCTGTTAAACCGAATCAACCGTGCACACCTGAAAGTCCTGCCATCGGTTGCCCTTACGCATGCCACGCGGATTCAGCCGCGCTCAATTATATATAACGTCCTTACCAACCTTTCTATTTGCACCAAAACATCATATTTCTTCATGGCGGAATACAAACAGCACCAACGCCTATTTGACCGTTTTGATGAGAACAGAGACGGGAAAATATCTGCCGAGGAGCTTCAACAGTGTGTGCATTTGATTGGCAAAGACATGTCATATGAGGAAGCAAAGGCTGCTGTTGAGCATAATGATTCAGACAATGATGGCTTGTTGGATTTTGAAGATTTTGTGAGATTAATTGAAGGTGGAAGTGAAGAAGAGAAGGCGCACGAGTTGAAGGAGGCGTTCAAGATGTATGAAATGGAAGGGTGTGGATGCATAACGCCTGAGAGTTTGAATAGAATGCTTTCTAGATTGGGAGAATCAACAACAATTGATGAATGCAGAGGAATGATTTGCCGCTATGATATTGATGGCGATGGTCTCCTTAATTTTCATGAGTTTGAGATCATGATGCGTTGCTAGTACTCGTCACTCAACTAATACTTATTACTATCTCTATCTCATAAAGTGATCACTCTTCAGTTAAGACACCTAGTTGCTACTTTGTCTCATTGTTTTGTTTCTGCTTTATTTGATTCTTTCAGTCTTTAATTGGTTGATCACTCATTCTTTCTGTATATTCTCTAAAACCAGGTTACATATGTTTATTTGTAATTTCTCCATTAGTACCCATATTTTGTGCTTTACATGTTTGTAACACTACTACTATGATTAATGATCTGTAATATATGTTTCATTTTACCTTTGGGGTGTCCTTTGATTCAACAACTTTGTATTAAAAAGTAGGAACATATATTGAGAAATGAACTGAAAATTGATTGACAAAAGTAGCTACATAAGAAGATGACTATTGATTAAAAGTAGCTATATAGTTACTCAAGTACATACTATTTACAAGTAACAGTAATAATATGCAGAATAAACTCTCTTCTCCTATTTTGCCTTGAGTACATAGGAAATCCAGAAATTATGACTCATAAAAACCTTACAACAAGTTGAACACTGGCCAGTTTACAATTCACAGAATCACATGGAAGTACTGGTGGCTTCAGCCTTGAACAAAGGTTTGCAAGAGCTTTCGGAGATTATGAGTTGCTCCTCCCCTTCCAGTAATTTTTCTTCAACCAATCTTGACAACTTCTTCACAATTTCACCAGCATTTGGTCTTAATGACGGCTCTTCCTCCACACATGCTCTAGCCAAATTTGCCAATGTCACTGCTGCATCAAATGAATAATTCTCTCCCAACGCGCTGTCCACCCATTCCCTTAGCTCATCCACATTCTCTGACTCCAAAATAACCTTTATTTTCTCAGAGAGGGCAACTTCATCTTCTCCTTCAGTAACATTTCTAATTCTTATAGGTGTTTGGCCTGATAACACCTCAAGTAATATCACCCCGAAAGCAAAGATATCAATGCTCGGGGCAATGATTTCTTGTTTAAGACACTCTGGAGCCAGGTAACCTTTTGCAACATCATCTTCAACACATCGAGCCATACCAAAATTACCAACTTTAGCCTTGAACTCTTCATCAAGAAGTATGTTCCGGCTCTTTATATTTCGATGAACATAAACAGGATCCATGATATGGTGCATAAATTGTAAGGCAGTGGCTACATCTAAACAGATCCTTAGCCTCTGATTCCATGTCAAGAAACAATCACATGAAGCAATGAATTGATTTTTCATTGCTAGACCACCATGAAGCCAATCCTTCAATGAACCATTTTTCGCGTATTCAAACACCAAGAATGAATCAGGACCCTCTGTAACACACGTCCCTAAGAGCCTAATGATATTTGGGTGATGATGAATTGCATCATTGAATAGCCCGAAATCTATTTTTGAGATACTGCTAGTCTCCATCTGTTTGATTGCCAAATTTTTACCACTGATACGGCCATGGAATACAGAATCCTCGATAAGATTCGAGGAATCAAATTCCTCTGTTGCCTTCTTTATCTCCTCAATAGTATAGGTCTCAACGAACAACTTATGTGGTGTGGCATCAATAATCTGACCATCAAGATCATTTTGAGACCCATCGAATGAAACTTTTTTTTCGCTCGTAGTTCTCACACTCAAACTTAACTTTTGTAGCTCCGTATCTCTTTCCTTACTCAAAATATCCCCTTTCCTCTTGAGAAAATAAAACAAGAAAACTGCTGGAAGCGCAAAAATTGCCACGAAGACAACCAAAGCAACAGCAATATAAACTCTCATCATCCGCATTTTGGTCTTCTTCTTATGTATTTTGGATGACGCAATACTTGCTGCTGGATATCCCAAATTCGGTTGCTGAGGTTTCGTGAATGATCCAAGTTTGGGTTTACCTGTTGATACATGATATAATTAAGTAACCAAGGAGGCATGTTGAGACATAAATAATGTAATTAAATGTTACCTTCGAGAGGGATCAAAAGTGTTGAAGCTGGTGAAAGTCCATTAGTTCTAAAACTAGCTCCTTGTGATCTTCGATTGACATCAATTATTCTATCAACAGTCGTATTGAAGCTGACTGCCAAGGCTGCAATCGTATCGCCTTGCTTCACAGGGTATGAGAGCAGAAGTTTCGTCCGCAGAGTAATTTCTTGTGGTGAAGGACAAGCACATCTCAATGGAATCGACAAGAGAGTTTTCTCAGAGAGACCCCAAGGAGTAACATTTGGATTTTTCTCCTGAATTGCTTTACAAGTCGTTAAACCTTCCAAAGATTGAGCAATGCTGTAAAAGCTCTCACCTTTAGTGGTGGTTTTCCTTAGCTCTGATTCAAAGAAACCACCAATGCATTTACAATCTAATGGAATTATTAAAGGCTGATCAGTTGCAAGAAACTCTGTATCTGGAGAAAATCCATTTGCTTCTCGGAGAAGGTATTGATTGATACCTAAATAAGAGCTCAGATTGAAAAGAGAGTCGTATAATGAATTAGTCCGAAGAATCCCAAATGTCCCGCATTGTAACAGATGCACGTTACGGTCACATCGATAGCCAGAAGCAGATGGAGATTTGGAATCGCAGCTTAATAAGTCCTCTCCATGAGCAGAAAGAGTAATAAATAGAAAGAAAAATACGAAAGCCCAGAATTGAAAAGCGACTATCATAGTTTAACTAATTGAGTGAAGGACCACTCTATGGAAGGGCATAAAAAGGTTGGTCTATGGCAGGGCAAAGAAATGAATATTTTGGATCTGTACAAATCGGCGTATATAAAGTAGAATATTTCGGACAAGAATCTTGGATGCTACAATTCTTATTTTATATTTTTGAGTCTGCACTACTCTTTGAGATTGTTTGGAAATTATGCTAGTGTTAATAATGTATGTTGTATTAGTTATTTCATCTTCTACTCAGCATAAATTAGTACATCAATTCACTCCTATTAATTATGTCAATTTCTAAAATTACAAATCGAGCGTCACGTGAACTTTATAACTCCAATAGCTACCAAACAACCCCTATGTACATTTGAAATGGCTATCCGTCATGATTATCCCCTCAACCACCTTAACATATTCTTTTTGGTTTTTGAAACTTTATATTTATTTATGCGCATACATGAACTTGGAAAAAGGTCATCTTGCCTTGGAAGAATATTGAGCAACAAGTGAATGTACAAACATTGGGGTAAGGAAAGCAAATGAAAATCTGTTAAAAGTTTAGAAAACCAAGTTACTAGTAAATTAATTGACCAGTGGGGCGGTCGGGAAGACCCCTCGTATGGCTAAATATATGTTTGTCAATTGTTATAGAAGAAGAGAGGGAGGGGGATAGCTGATGAAATTTTCTATATTGAATTGAGCACATTGAAAACAGTTATATGTGTGTATAAAGAAAAACAAGAAGGGTTAACCAGGTAATGGAAAAATCAAATTTGGTCAGAATGGTAAATAACATATTTTACATTATGTTTTGTTATTTTACGTTTTTTTTTAATTTTTATCCTTCAATTTTAATATCTTTTAACTTATAAATGAAAAAAAGATCAGTTTTTATTTTAAAACAAAAAAGATATTATAGACTTTTTAAATTTCTGATCAAATTTTCTGACCATTTAGCATTATTACGTAATAGGATATTAGGTTAGTATCTGAGTGATTGTGTGCAGGAGACGAATAGGTAGTTGAGTGTCTCAACATCCGATCATATTGGTAATTGTAGTATTTCACTAGTAATTTTTTGTCCTTCAGTTATTATGATACTAAATGTGTTTTTTTGTATTTCGATTATTTTATTATTATATTGTAGTGATTATTCAGCATACCACGTTATTCTCACTTTTGTTACTTCTTTTTCTGAACTATTTTAGACTGTTTTTCCTTGAAATGATAGTTTGTCGAAAACAATTTCTCTGCCTCTGAGATAGAATAAGATATGTGTACATTCTATTCTCAGCATACCTCACTTTATAGGATAATTAAATGCAAAAGCACATAGTATGTATTCCTCAACCAATATCACACACCAAGTGTTCAAAACATGTCTCCATGCTCAAATTAAATCGAAATCATAATTTCTTGAGCGTAATATATGCTCTCTTGTCTTAAGTCAAGGGTACGATAAGTGACGCATACAATGGACAAGCACTATATGCCACGAACAAAAAAACTCGCATTGACGAGACCTCCCGTCCTTTGCATACATAAAGCTAAGGCATTTGAGACACATTTCATTTTAAAAGATGATGACTCAAAATTCCATCTTCACCTATATATCTATAACCTACATTTCATATGGACCATCCAAAATTTTGAGTCTATGATCAATTCTAAATTTAAAAATTAAATGCAACTTACTTGTTTATATATTAAGTGGATAATTTTGGATAAAAGCTAGATTTCTTTCTTCTTTTTTTTTTTTAGAAAATGTGGAAGAAGAAAGAAGGTGCACGTGAGATCACATGCCGACCACCATTCAGCAAAGCTCTAGATAAGTAATAAAGAAATGAAAAAAGGCCCATACGTAAACAGAGGTGACAAGTACGAGATCAACTGTCCGAAGGGAGAAAAAAGGTTTCTTTTGTCGATAGACCCACAGCCACATGACCAAGGTAGTGCTAGATAGTAGTAGCCAATAATATATTAGTAAATCTCAGAAATTTGGAAACGAGTTTAATCCATATGAAGAATCGAAGGTATTAGGGGTCTTAAGTACTAAAATTAGTTTATTTAACATGATTCGCCCTAAAATAATTAGCTACAATCATCAACTTAGTTCATTTTGATATGTTCAATTCATTTTATTTAAAAGTTAGGCTACTTATGTGTTGTTCACTGTGATTTGTCAATTTTTTTAGTTGTCTTATATCATAGATTACCATCATAAAAAAAAGGGGGACATATATCATGATTAAAAACATTATAAGAGTAATGTAACCCAACCCTTCCATTCTAACACTAGTAGTAGTGGAAAGTGTGCAGCTGAAACTATACATCAACCTTAGGAGTTTAATTTAGTGTTCCTAGAAGAACGCAATAATAATGGATCTGATTTTTATTGGAAAAATACCACCTTCAGCAGATCGAAATATATTGTCATGAGAGTTGTATCTTTTTGAACTCCATCTAGGCACACTTTTTATAACTTCTCGTATTGTCAAGTTGCCTAGTTGGATCCATTACTTGTTAAAATCTCCCAGAAACTATGATTCTCCTGAAGCCTTCTGCTTCAAAACAATGTGCACAAAGCGAGCCAATTTACTAAAGCATAAATTACACGATTTTTTAGTTTTTGATAATTTCTGAATTTATAGAGTAAACTCAGGGAAAATAATTAGTTGAAATCATTAAAATAAAAAATAGATTAAAGTTTATTTAGCTATTATACAACTCAGGAAGTGGAACGAAATTTAGTTATTTTGCAGTGTATTTCATACTAGTTAAGGGTTATAATGCTTGCAGAGTTCAACAAGATAGAGTTTAGAGCAAATTTTGAGGAATATCAGACATTAAAATCAGTATGGCACTTTATAGTTATAGTTTGCGCATGTTTGCTACGAAGCTTCTCATTTGTATAAATCGCTGTCATCTGATTCGCAAGCATCTAATTTGTATAAAATCCAGTAATTATATATGTACATCGGTAAGATAATTGTATATATATAACTATTATGTATATATATATCGATGATTGAGTTTTATATCTGCATAAAATTTGAATTTGTATACAATTAAATTGAGTTAAAATATTCATATTTGTATCTCAAATTTCTCTATCGCTTTATATAAACACAAATTGTACGTTGTATTTTGTATAATTGGTGTTTGTATTAAACAAGAAAGGCAAAAAAGAATTAGCAAGGGAAGATTTGTACTTGTATAATTATAAGTGTATAGAACGAAGAGATATGTATTTATATATATAGGCAACTGATAAGGTGATGAGCGAGATTTAGAAGAGATACAAATGACAAAAAATTTATTACGAATTAAAATAAAATATATATTTTGAATTAATAGTTTGTTATAATAGAAAATTCTTTCTCTTCCCTGAGTCGTATGCTATTTAAACAGACAGTTCACTGACATCTTTGACAGATGTGAAATGCCTGAAAATATATATTGCTGATCACATATCTTATCGATTCAGCCCATGGATCAAAGGAGGGCCCATGTAGTCGTAGCTAGCCCACGGAAATAAGAGACGACACCATCTTAAAATACAAATATTTTCTATGATACCAACTACTAATTATTTCAAGAGTACTTGCGGATACAAACGTCCCTTTGTAAGTTCTACTAAGCTAGCGTTTGGTCATAGATATTTAAATATTTTTGATAAATATTATTTGGATGAAAATTTGGGTAAAATTTTACCATGTGTTTGGCCATAGAATTTGAGAAACATATTTCATTTTTTTAAGAAATATGATTTATACCATAAGTTTTTAAAACTATCAAACTAATCATAAATTTGTATTACATAGCACAATAGAAATCTCACGTAACAAGATTTATGACTTCCGCAACAAATAAACAAGAATCATTACGATAAATATTCGTATAGTGAAAAGGTCTTGGTACAAATCATGATAATGAAAATACAACTAATATAAATTCGGGAAAAAAAAGAGAAGAAAACAAAAGGAAATAAATATTGCAATCACTGAAGAACATATGCTTTCTCATCTGAAAGAGTTCAACCTATTCTTTAATATAATCTTCCCACATTTTATGAACAATTTGCTTCTCGATGAGCTTACATTTTCGAATCAGACGATCGAGAAAATGAAGCGATGTTGTTACCCTGAGCCAGTAGTTCGTCACTTTCATCAACAACCATATCATCATTTTCATTTTCATTGAATATTCCATCACTATTTTGGTGTTCACGTAAAAAATTATGCAATACAGCGCAAGCAATTACTATTTTCACTTGCATGTCACATTCATAGTTGTTCATGCCTTGTCTTAGTATTCTTAATCTACTTTTCCATGCACCAAAAGTTCTTTCAATTACATTGCGCAGAGAAGTATGTTTATAGTTAAATAGCTCTTTTCCATTCTTAGACTCTCTTTCACTTCCTCGGTAGTCCTGCAAATGATAGCGCATTCCAATGAAGGAGCTAAAAATCCTCTTGTGTTCCGTAGACCAGCATCAACAACGTAATATTTATCTACCAAAATAAAATAAATGCAATTCATGTTTTATTTAGTAGCTAGTTCATTAAGACTAACTGTAATAAAGGAATGTATGAAATCAAAAGAATGCATGTAGAAGGGAGCTAATTGAATTGGTTGATGTCAATAAATATATTATTTTTGTAAAATAAAAAGTTAAGGGTAAAAATTGAATTTCTAAAACTTTCTAAATAATGAAATTTGGCCCAAATACTAGTTTTTTCTAGTATTTGGGAATTTGGAAAATTTGCCAAAAAAATTTGCCAAATAATAAAAAAGTGTATGGACAAACAAAATTTGTCAAGTTTTTTCCCAAGTTTTACTTGCAAAATTTATGGCCAAACGGGCCCTAAGATGTGAACCATCAACAACAACAACAGGCCTACAGAACTCAAATCCTCTCATCAAAGGTCTTAAAGCAATGAATAGATACATAAATTCATTTTTTTCTGATTTGTGCATCTGTATATAAGAATTTGGATACACCGTTTCCAACATATGTATGTATTTTGGCATATTTTTATATGCATCTGTAGGATTGCCCCTTATCAACTCTAGTGCACGTTCTTTAGCACGCCATGCTTGCTGGTAAGAAATCTCAACACCATACATTTTCGTAACATCATCAATTATATCATTTGGAGTATGTTTTCTTTTATGATTTACCAATTTTGGAGCCGTAAAAGCACCAATAAATCCAACAGTAGCTTGTACTTTACTTAATACCATATCCCTTAATGGACATGTATGCTCACTGTTGAAATATCTTACTTTGAATATATCAGTGTTTTTCCTAACAGACGCCTTTAATTTCCAACAACAATTCTCCGAATAACACTCTAAAACATAGCTGCAATTATACCAATATAAATTTGTTAGTTATTAGTAAAAATGCATACTTGAAACTTTAAGATTTGATACAAATTTTTTTGATATTTACAGTCAATGTATGTAAAGGTATATAACATTTACAATAACAACTCATATTATATTCATGTCAAACAAACTATTTTAAACATTTATATAAATTTCCACTGTGTTTTACCTCCTACACACGTTCACAGACACGTCAACATAATAATACAAAATTAATTAAATTGTCACAATTATAATTTCATCTTTGACTTATACAAAATAAATTTTTAATTATCCAACACCAAGTGATATACTAACCATGTAAATAATCCAAATTTATCCAAAAATATCATTATCTAAAGTGTGTAAACAAAAATCAAATATGAAATACTTACATACCTTTTTGTATCGGACCGTTTGACTCTAAAATTAAAGCTAGTTTTAATTTGTATTTCATCATTACAGCCACAAGAGTTGCTTTATCCTTGTACAATTGTTTTGCCTCCACATTTGATATATTTGTATCTGATATATAATTTTCTTTCTCCATCTCGGGTATGTAACAAGAATCACCAATGTTTGATTTAACAACGTTTAGAGCATTAACGTCTCTTTGTCCACCTTCAATACACATAATTGCACCACTACTTGAATCAAAATTTTGTCACTCCTCTGTACTTTTATCATTTGTATCGATGCAAAGCGGATACATACTGAATCCAACCCTCTTGCTTCTTTATTTCTATAAACAGCTTCACACCCATATCATTCCTAATTATCATCGGAGAAGAATTGTCCTCTACAATATATCGGATAATAATATTTCTTTTCAATTCATCAATATTTAATTCAGTAGCAATTGTTGAGATTAGATTCATATATGAAATATTTTCCCCAACCACGATCCCATCACTTTTGTATTGATTGTATTTAACCTCACTCTCCCATATTCCTGAATGCCTTAGCAATATCGTAATATTCATTACGAAACCGGATACAAAATTACCTTCAAAGAAATTTTGAATATCGTTTCTGCCAAAAAAAATGAAATATCACTAATCAAAATCAAAATATCGTTTCTGCCTAAAAGAAGGAAAGATCACTAATGACAAAATTTAAGGGAATAAAACTGATTTTGAAACACACAAGTTAATGCCTTTATTTAAGAGAATAATAACCGTGGCACATTAAAAGTAGGAATTAATTCAAATTTCAGTTTTTAATCCCCCTAATTACTCAACAAACAGATAAAAATCCCCCAAATTAAAAATGGAATATAATATAATGTATCCGACTATTTTATTATGTATCAGAAACTTATTAAAAATAAGAAATTTTTTGTAAATTTAAAAAGAGTTGGAATAGGAGGTAATTTATGTTTACACATGATTTACATAATTTTTACTTATTTCAATCCTGTTTTATTTAAATAAAAACATTCACTCGCTTTTAATGATGGCCAAAAAAATAAAAATATATTTGTCATATTGGAGTGGCAATGAAGGAAAGCCACATAGGAATGCTAGTTAGCATCCATTAATTATTTCCAAAATATATAATACTTGTAAAATAGTAGTAATTGTCGGGCCAATTTGAATTGAACAAGCAAAGATGAGGCGTGAGGTTCGTCGTGGCACTAGCAGGCAAAGGAATTGGGCGTTACGTTACATCAACCCAAATTAAAAAAATTAACGCCACAAGTCTCCTCGTCTTTTCTCTCTCTCCATTAACGAACGCTCTTTTTTCCTTTTCCACCTTATGAATTATGTAATATAATTTAATTTTAACACGAAATTTAACCAAAGATGGAAAAAAAATTAAAATTTATAGTTTAAAATAAATTATAGATATTTATGTGACTAAAAATTATTTCTTCATTGATAAAATAAATATCTTAAAGTTAAGCTACTACTGAATATAAAAATATGTCATTACTTGTTCTTTTTGAAATCGAGTAAAAAAAAATCAAATAAATTAAGACAAAAGAGAATACTACTATAAAAAAAGAATGTTTGACTATTTTTTTATTACATCTTTATAATAAATATTAACTCAATATATCATTATCTTCGACGGAAAGTCAACATATATGTTATAGATGATTCATACATATGTTATGCATTGACCAGATATTTTTAGTTCTTAAGATTTTGAAAGGCTTAAGCATGGAATACCACGACTTGAGATTTCATGTCCTTATATATATTTATATAATAATAAGGCAATATAGTTAAGTAACTATATTTTATTCTATAAACCTAAAGAATGAAAGACATAATTTATTTTCACTTTGTTCCACTTCCACTCCAGGTACTTAAATTTAGAAATATTGGTATTGTTGCACAAAGAATTCATGAAGGATCAATCCTAAAGAAATATGAAGTGATTAAGGGGTTTGCAAAGTCCATCCTTCTTTCATTTTATTTTCAATTGTAATCTTATATTTTTATTATCTTGTTAATTTATACTAACAATCCATGGCAACATCAACGTGTATACATAAATAAAAATGTCATTTTTTAATTTCCGATAAGTCGAGAATTTCATTTTCAAATAATTTAATCAGATTGCGTCAACATCAAACTTTTAAGTGTGAGCATTAGCATGGCACTTGCATTTTGTGTGGTGGCTAATCCTATTTGTTTTTTTGTCAATTTAGTCGTCTTAAATTTTGTCCCTTTCAACTAATAACCATTACGTTTATCAATTGATGACCCAAAACTAAATCGACTCTACTAATTAGATGACTCTCCCTCCAAAATCGCCAAGCGTCGAATACCCACCACAACGTTTACCAAAAATAAACTATAGTTGATTATATTTAGAAGCGGAGTAAAAAAAAAAAAATTAGTGACTATAATTTTATTGAATTTTGATTTTTTTTTAAAAAGAAATTATCTTATACAACATATTCATCCTTCGAGGATGCGCTGAAAGATTCAAAACAAAAACAATAGAAGTTTATATGAGTACTAATTATTTGTTCATGATCACTATGAAGGTGAAAATTGATTGAATTAGGTTAATTTATTATTGAATGGGTGATGTAGCTGTACAAAAGAAAATTAGTTGATAGTGATTGATTACACTCGAAAATCAAATAAAAGTTTAATTACATGTTAATTAGGTGCCGACGCCTAATTTGCCTCCAATCGGAATGGGTCACGAATCAAATTGCCCAGATTCAATTCATGCCTAAAAGAGTTGGATCATTTTCTCTCTAACTAATACTTATTTCGTCTTTTGCATTTGTTTCTTTAGGTTTAGGTTAATACTACATTATTATACTCCATTATTTATAAACACAATATTATTTTAGTTTATAGGAACATATTACATCTTTAATTAATGAGACAAGGATAAAAACACATTTTAACTATTAATAGTTTGAGTTCCATACGTGCATTATTACTTATTAGTTTGAGAAATATGTCTCTCTCTTTTATTATATTGTATCATGGTATCTTTAATTCACTCTCTCTTTTATTTAAAAAAATTATCACATCGTACGCCATATAAATAAAAAATTCTACCTTGATAAAAATTAATAAATTAATAATTGTTAAAGTTAGAGATTAAAATATTACTATTTCAAAAAAAATTATGAAATAAAATATAAAATACATTTCTTATCTCACTTCATTTATTTGTCTCACGGTACTCCCATTCTTACTTCATCATTTAAAAAAAAAAAAAAAATTCCACCCCACCCCACAAACCCTTTGTTTTCAACTTTTTCTCGTATTGTATATTTGTATCATATAGTTTAGCCTTTAGTTTTTAACTAATATTAGTAATAGTTATTTAATTTTCTTCAAATGAAATATTTTGTTATTGTCATGTGACAATGTTTTTACATATAAAGAGAGAGTGTATTATATACACCCCTAATGTGTGTTTCTCAAACTAATTGTAATTGATAGTTTAGGTATGAAACTCACACTCTCAATAGTTTAAGTATAAAATTCAAAATATAAAACAATTTAATTATATTTTTTATATTTATCTCTTAATTAATTTAATCGCGCACTTTTCACTCCTTTGTTAGTGATGAGTGAATATTTACAAATTTATCATAATTATTAATTGCTTCACCACATAGTCATCTATGTATTATATTAAATTTGTATTGACAACTCATATTTGACGATAATATAATTCTATAAATAGTCAAGTTTAGCTAGTAATTTTTTTTTATTTTCACAAAAGGATACAAAAGAGTATAATGAAGATGAACTATGTTAAAACATATATCACCAAAGGTAATATTTACAAATAATTTAGGGACTAAGAATACCATTGTTCCTTTAGTTTCTGGGTATGCATGATTTCCCAAATATATTTTATTTGGATTTACATATAGTGTTACAGAAGTAGGAGGGTTACAAATTCCTAATAGTGAAATATCAATATTACATGTGTCAATGAAACAAAAAAGTTGTCAATATTATACTACAGTCCCCTGTTTTAGCGGTTTATAATCCAGAACACATCAACATAGTTGCAATTGGAAAGAAAAAAGAAACGACCCTCAACTTATTTATTTGAAAGAAGAAAATTAAGGCAACAAAGAAAAACATTACTATGTGAAAAGGAAATATACCAAAAAGTGTTCAATTCTTGAGTTCTATAATTTTCCATGATTATACATAAAGATAAAGATTAATTAATTTATTAGGTTGGGCAAAAGATTAGACTTGTCTTAATTTTGATATTCTTCATCTTTCTATTTTTTGTGTGGTAGATTTGGATGAGGATAGTCTTTACTGCCATTTCATTTACTCTGTCAAGGAGTAATTAAGTTCAGTAAGCAGAAAAACGTGTCATCAAAATTTATCTAAAGGTTTTTCTTTTCTTATCCTATTCGAAATTTTAATTTGATTGTAATAACTGAATCATATAGTATTTTGTCCTTCGGGATTGAGTAGTATTTTCTTAGACTATTTTTATTTGTTCATACTATTGAGTTGGCACACTTTTAAAAAATAATCAATCAAATAATATTTCTGTTATAATTATATTATTATTTAAATATAATAAATTCATTATTTTTTTATAATGCATTAGAAATGAATTATACTTAATTTAATATATACTAGTATAAATGATAAATTATATTCTTAATATTTTTTTAAAAATTAAAAAAGGAAACTTTCACATATAACTATTCAAAAATAACTTAATTATTCTTCATAACTATAATTTGATAATTACAATACATAGCTACATATAATAGAAAAGAGAGAGGCGAGCGAGAGAGAAGGAAGAGAAAGGACAAAAATAGAAAAAAAATGAATTTTATATATATATATATATATATATATATATATATATATCAATTAGATAATTATATATTATATATATACTTATATACAACAACTAAAAAATCTCCATCGAATCATATGCCGAGGGAGGCTAATGGAGTAGCCGATGCACTAGCGGAATATGGAAGGAAGACAAAGGATCCAACTATGACAACAAATTATGTCTATATTTTTGATGCATCTCCTTCCTTTGTTAGGAATTGTCTAGAAAGAGATATGAATGCAACTGCTTCATATAGAACAGTTCCCTTTTGTATGGATGAACTTTAATTATTATTAAATAAAATTTTTCTCTTTCTAAGCAAAAAAAAATATATGACAAGGGAGATTAGAAGGAGAAGAGAGACGATCGAGATTGGGAGAGGGAGAAAAGAGGTGAGCGAGAGAGGATAAAGAGTGAGAGAGAGCTGAATTGTATATATATCGATTAGATAATTGTATATTATACATATGCATTTGTATATTTTGGCGAGTTATACATATGCAAATGTAACTAATTATACAAATTCGAAGTCAACTCACATAATTAATGCAGAATGTTAATCATAAATAATAATTATAACAAAACTATAACTATGATGAATAACTAAATAATATAAGTTTGCTTAACCATATTTTTAGGAAGAAAAAAAAGTATTAGCATATATTTATAGTTTAGTGCACAAATAAAAATAGACCAAAAATCTTAGAAAAGTGGGGCATAAGATTAAAAACCACTTATATCCGCCAGATCTGTCCAAATTAGAAAAAAGTGAAAATATAAAAAGTTGAAAGTAA